GAGGATAAGGGCTCCGGTTAGGGCCCTCCTGGGTCTTAGCTCGTCGATTCCCAGTTCCTCGAGGTTTACCTGGGACTTTATGACCCTCATTCCCTCCGCATACGCCCCCGGGGGGAAGGTGAGGGTCACCGCTTGTGCCCTCGGGTTCCTCCTCTTGGCTGGGGGGGTCCTCTTGTCTCCAGCCGGGGCCCTCGTCTCCCTCTGTTGGGGGGGACCAGGCTGGCTCGGAGCTCCCTTCTTCCTGGACCCCCTCCTCACCACATCGACCCATGTCTCTTGGGTCGCTTGACCTGCCTTGCCAGGCTTGTTATTCGCCTCTAGGGGCTCTTCCTCGGTGCGGATTCCCTTTTTCTGGGCAGTCCTCGACCGGCTGACAGCCCTCTGGGCAGCCGCTCCTTTCCCGGCTCTCGATTGGCTAGCGGTCCTTTGTTTGGCCGCTTCCTTACTGCTGGCAGTCTCGCCTATGTCCAGCCTATTCTTCTCCCTTACTGTGGGTGTCGGCTTGGGTGCGTTCTTTTTGGGCCCTGTCACTTTTTTCGGCATCTGTTTGTTTGAAGATGCCGCGATCTTTCCCATGGGTGCCCTGGCTGCTGGCCCATCCTCGATCAGCGGTTCCTTACCTATGGGGAGCATCGCCATCGCTCCTTGGCAGCGGACCATCAGGTTGTTGATCTTCAACCTGACTTCCTTGGCGTTGCCCCGCGCAATATCCCCAATGGTGACTCCCTCCATTACCTTGCGGACGTCTTCAAGGGCCCGCTCCTCCGTAACCTCCTCTAGCTCCTTCCTTACACCCCTCACCTCCGGCCTGAGCACCGGGGGTGGGGGTACCATGTCCTCCTCGTCCATGCCCGTGTCCCTGGGCTGGGAATGGGATTGGGTTCTCCCCCTCATCTCTTCGTCTGAGGAAGAGGAGGGTGAGGCCATTCTCATGCACTTCCTCTTGCGAAGCGCTCTTTCAGGCGTTCTCCGCACGTCCTGTAGCTGCGTCCTCTGCCTCTTCGCAGTGAGGCTCGCCACCTTTTCTTCGAGCTCTCTGATTCTTGCTCGGAGCTGGCCTTCTTCGCCTCCGTAATCACCCCCTAGTGCAGCACATGGGGCGGTTGCCTTGGCCGAGAGCGCCTTGATCGCCGCCCTCAGCTTACTCGCCGAGTTGTATAATTGGTGGACAAAAGTGCCCTTCAAATTCCCCGAGCGCTCCGCCACCTTCTCAACCACATTTAAGTGTTCCGTCATTTCCGCTACGATCTGATCCGGTCTTAAGTCCTCTAACTGCCTGACCGTTTCTCTCTCCGGCGTGATATTTTTTCTCGCCTTTCCACTCGGCAGGATGTTCCGATCCAAGATATCGGAGAGCGTCTTGTTCTGCTGAATCAGTTTACGATTCGTTTTCCTGATTTCCCTCTTTTCCCTTCTCAGGGCAAAGTTGGAATCCTTGGGAGGTCTGCCTCTGCTTCTGGCTCTCCTCTCGGGCGCGGATAACACTCCGTTGTCATCCGCCGCGCTGTCGTCTTCCCCATACCCCTCGGTATCCGACCCATCGACGTCTATGATCGGTTCCTCACGTGGTCTGTTCTTGGCTTGGTCCGCTAGCTTCTTTTTGTCGCTGGCGGGGCCCGCCCTCCCTATCCCCGTGTGCGTTGTCGGGGTGGCTCGGTCATCCACCTCCATTGGAGTGTGTTCCGAGTCGTCTTTCGCTCTCCTGTTCGCGCTCGCATTCGTGCTGCTCCCATCCTCTCCTTTGTTTTTTTGTTGGTGCTTCATGATGGCAGATATTTCTAGGACCGGTTCGCCCATTATGGGACCCCCACCGCGGTGGGGGCACTATCCCCGGTGTCGAGAGTTCCCTAGTTAAGGACCGGGCAGCGGAGATGCCGTTTTCGGGGAAGCCACCCCCTATCCCGGTCAGTGACTCTAAGCAAAGGGTTCCTGGAGGCGGCCAGGTCCACTAAGATGCTATAGGTTAACCTCACCCCCGGGGAGGAGCGCGCACCGACCCGATCGGCCGCATACTCCTCCCCAGGGCTAGAGGTTGCAAGGGAATCTCCCCCCCTCACAGGGTACGAGAGGACGCCGGCTATGCGCCTCTCCATACCCGCGCCCGGACTGCCGGCTTCAACGCCCTGATAGGCTCCAGACGGACGAGACGGGAGCGGTTTTCCCACGTTAAACATGCCACTTCCTGCGGACTTTGCCAGTAAACTGGACTTACATTCCCGCGTAGTCCATGGCAGAGGTCAGGTACAGACGTCACCGCTCGTCCCCGGTCGGGGGGTTTACTACTCCCCCCTTGGTTAGTCTCAGGGAAATATCCACCGGCAGCCGACCGCGGCCCATTCATTCACCACTCATACAACCGATCCTTCGCCCTCCACGACCAGCCCCGTACGCCAGGCCGCACGTCCCAGCAGCGGGACGTCGGCCCCAGACGCAGGAACCAGCCGCTTCGTCGCGGAGGACCGGGTGTTGGCCAGCAGGCTTGCCGACCAACCCCACAGACCCCGAGGCCCTGCCTGGGAATACGTCCCAGCGGCCCCCGGGGTCTTCCGGGAGACCGGACCCTGCCTCGGAAACGTCCGAGCGGCCCCGATCCCCCGTCCTTGCCGGGCCAACCGGGCGACGCGGGTCTAGGACCCGACGTGTACCCGGGGCCCCGCCCCCTCCCGGAAGGGCCGGATTACATCCGAACCAACCGCGAGGGAACTTTCCCCTCTTCCCTCCTGCCCCCACTCCCTCGCCCCCCCCTATGCCAGGCCGCACGCCCCAGCAGCGGGACGTCGGCCCCAGACACAGGGGTTGACGAGTTCACGGAGACAGGCGGGTGCTGAGCGACGAAATGCCGCCCAGCTTCTGACTGCCATCCCACTCCGCGGATCCTGGAAGCCAGTTTACCGCGGAGGTCCGGCCCCTCCCCCCGGAAGTGACGGACCACGTCCGAATCAACCGCGGGGAGGCCACGACTTCCGGCCCACCCTTCGGCCGGGACCACGTCCCGTTGTGCCTCCGGGGTCCGGCCCTCCTCCGCCCGCGAGCACGTCCACGACGAGCTCGTTGGCGGAGGAGCTCCCCTTGCCACCG